AGGCGCTGCAATCGCTCTCATTATTTCCGCCGCTGATCCCGGCAGCACAAAAGCGCGAGTCCGCCTCCAGCCGCATCTCCATCCGGGTAGCTCTGGAGGGGAGGCTCGGATAGTTCCCTCCCAGGCCCTGGAGTTCCTCCGAATATGGGGCCGCTTGCCCCAGAAGCAGATACGCGGGGTCCCCATTTCGGGGTAGCCGATACGCGAACGCTTCAGGCTTCGGCGAGCTCTGATCTCGACAAGACCCGGACAGAGGACGAGCAGCGACAGCGACGTTTCGCAATCAAAGGTCGCTGTCAGCGGCTAAGTTGTGAATAAATGAAAAAGGGGGCAGTTCTGGGGACGCGATGTTGCCGAATTGAAAGGGGGTCTTCCTGAGTTTTTGGAACCCAGCTCTTAACTTCTGGAGCGGGCGGGAATTAGGCAAAGTCCTTCTGAGGTATCCTCAAGGAGCAGTTTTTGCACAGCGAGCGTCCCGCTACTTCATTGCTGCACGTGTTTCAGGGATTCAACCACATCTCACACGAAACCTGATTTCTTTCCATTAAAATCTGTTTCAGTAAGAGCCAGATTCCTAAGAAACTCAGACGTCCTACCCAGACGTTATCAAGAGACCATGGGATGTCTACTGCTTTTGATAGTGTAAAGTTCATCTTAATGGGATGGAGAAGGAAAGGGAGAGAAAAAAGTGTGTGTTTGTGTGTGTACTGGAACTGAAATTATTTCAGCTTTGATTGCTATAGGTGGATTTAACAGTTCAGCTATTTTATGAGGCTCCCTGAATCTGGAACCCTCCAGGAATATAATATTTTGGTTTTCGAAACTTCCTCTTTTATTGCCAACAATTATGAAAATTGAGGGAAAGGTATCAAGCTTCAGTTTACCTTTTATTCTTAAGAAATAGCTGGAGAAGATGTGAATGCTTGAATAGTTTGCAAACTTATTTTGGATCATTAAATCATGGGTCTTGATTAGAGTTGTGTTGTAATGTTTGCTATATTAATGAAAACATTTTCATCCACAAAAAACAGTGCCTCTAATTTAATTGGACATTGATTTATTCCCACATATGAATATTAGTAGAACACGTGTCACTTTATTGAATTCCGAAGGGCAAACTTTCTTCAAGAAGCTTAGAGCTAGATAAATCTTTGTTGGCTTAATTGACCAAAATAAACAAACAATAATTAGGTAGACAGTGTGAAAAATAGAGACAGAAGTAAAATTAAAAATAAAACCCTGATCTTCATTTTGAAAGATATAATGGAATGCTTTCTTTGGGGGATAGATGAATTTTGTACAGAGATTTTGTTTTGTGTGCAACCATCTTATGGGCATGCAAATACTGGCAGTGTCTTTTACAATCCAGATGCAGGCACAGTAGAAAGTTGGGTGGATTTTTCCCTTGGATGACTGTCTTTAATCACAGGCAAACTGTTGATTGTGCAGTAATACAGTTTCATGGGTGAACTAGTGAGATCAACATATACCTCTTTTCTAAAGAAAGGCTGCTCTTATAAAATAAGAAAGATTCCCAAATAATGTATAACACTAGTTCTTCTGATATAAAGACACTCAAATAGTAGTCTCAGCTGCTCAATGGGACAGTCTTATGGATTGAAAAGGATGGTTTTCTCTGATGGTTTTTCCTTCAGAGAAAGAAACTAGTGGTAGTAATGTGTAGTAATGGCACCGAAACCACTAGGTGCTAGGTTATTATTTAATTGTACTTCTTACTATTCTTTCTCCCAGAGAAAAGTTGTTTTGTTTATTGATAGGTGTAGAAAGCCAGACACATTCCACGTTCACACTTCTGCACTCAGAATTTGTACCATGAACATACTTGGGACAGCCACTTTACATAATCTCCCCAACAATCTGGAGATTTTAAAAGCCACTTTGTGCTAATTAACAGAATAACAGAGCTGGAAGGGACCTTGGAAATCTTCTAGTCCAACCCTCTGCTCAGGCAGGAAACCCTATATGATGTCAGACAAATGGTTGTCCATTCTCTTCTTAAAAAATTCCAGTGATGGAGCATCTACCACTTCTGGAGGCAAGTCGTTCCACTGACAGTTGTTCTAACTGTCAGGAAATTTGTCCTTAGTCTAGGTTGCTTCTCTCCTTGATTAGTTTCCATCCATTGCTTCTTGTCTTGCCTTTAGGTGCTTTGGAGAATTAGAATTAGAATAGACCTGGAAGGGACCTTGGAGGTCTTCTAGTCCAACCCCCTGCTCAAGCAGGAGAACCTATACCATTTCAGACAAGAGACTGTCTAGTCTTCTTCTTAAAAATTTCCAGTGATGGAGCGCCCATGATTTCTGAAAGCAAGCTGTTCCACTGGTTAATTTTTCTCACTGTTGGGAAGTTTCTCTTTAATTCTAGGTTGTTTCTCTCTTTGGTCAGTTTCCAACCATTGTTTCTTGTCCTGCAATCTGGTGCTTGGAGAATAATTTGACCCCCTCTTCTTTGTGGCAACCCCTCAAACATTGGAATACTGCTGTCATGTCACCCCTGTTTCTTCTTTTCATTAAGTTAGAGAGGCACAATTCCAGAAACCATTCTTTATATGTTTTAGCTTCCAGTCCCCTAATCATCTCTGTTGCTCTTCTCTGTACTCTTTCTAGACTCTCAGCATCTTTTTTACATTGTGACCAAAACTGGATGCAGCATTCCAAGTGTGGCTTTACCAAAGCGTTGTAAAGTGGTATTAACATTTCACATGATCTTGAGTCTATCCCTTTGTTAATGCAACCTAGGACTGCATTGGCTTTTTTGGCAGCTGCAACACACTGCTGGCTCCTATGTAAGTGAATGTCCTCTAGGACTAGGACTCCAAGATACCTCCCACAATTACTACTATTGAGCCTAGTATCACCTATACTATACCTGTGCATTTGGTTTTTATTGCCTAAATGTAGAACCTTATTTTTCTCACCATTGAATTTCATTTTGTTACATGGGGCCAATGTTCAAGTCTCTCAAGATTCTTCTGTATCTTAAGCCTATATTCTGGAGTGTTGGCTATTCCTGCCAGTTGGAATAACAATTCCAATTGCTATATCTCCTTTTGTTCTATTGGTTTTAACCTGTGTATTTATAATAAATAAGCGATTGCATGCCTATTTTGACAATTGTGAGATTGATAATTTTTCTTCTAGACAGCACTCAAAGGCTTTTGCTTCAAAAAGAGATTTATGGATCTCCATTTTTCATGATACTATAAAATGGATCTGATAATTTAATCTTTCCTTGCTTTCTATCTGTTGGCAGGTGGTGTTTTTCTTGCTACCGTCGCTACTGCAGGAATGCTAGCAGGTTTTGGTATGACACTGGCTGTGACGAAGAAGAAAAGTCCCAATTGGTTCAATAAGGTTAGTTTATTTGAACTTCTTGTGTAGTTCTGATAGTTCAAAAGTGTGTATCCTATATTATAGGATACAATACTGTAGGTGCCTGCTGAGAGAACAGCTTTTTGGAGAAAAAATTCACAAAAAAATATATAGTTAAAAATGATCACATGACCAAGGGGATGCTGCAAAGGTCCTAAATGTGAAAAACGGACATAAGTTACTTTTCAGTGCCGTTGTAACTTTGAACTGTTGTAAGTTGAGGACGACCTGTAGTTCTCTTAGATCAGGGGTCTTCAAACTTGGCCCTTTTATGACTTGTGGACTTCAACTCTCAGAATTCCTCAGTCACCGTGCCTGGCTGAGGAATTCTGGGAGTTGAAGTCCACAAGTCACAAAAAGGCCAAGTTTGAAGACCCCTGTCTTAGACATATGAAACTGGTAGCCTAAAATAGCTACATAAGAGATTAAAGTATTCTGCTAGGTGATATTCTTATATGAAGAACAGAAGTGCCCTGAGTTGATTTAAAAAAAAAATAAAGCCCTACAGGCAAACAATAACAAGCATATGTGACCAAAACTCTCTTAAAATAGTGGCTCCTTTTATCAATGAAGTCTTTTCTGTACCACTAAGGAAAAGCCCAAAATGTCTTTTTCCAGCCATTTTTTCAACACTTGTCTTGAGGTTCTAAATAGCTTTTGTGTAGATCATATGACAGCTTTTTACTATGAATGACACAGTTATCTGAGTATTTTATTCCCTCAAGGAGTTCTCTCATGAGCAGACATTCCTGAGTTAATAAGCCCAGGTCAGCAGTTTTCCATTATCGTTCTTCTGAGGCATTCTTTTTGCAGAAATTCCCATATTATGTTTCATTTTAACTCTCTCTTATGATAAAAAAACTGAAAAATTTCTTCGATGTATTGTCTCTGAATTCTTATCCTATATATAACAAAATCAATTGCTGGGGTTTTTTTTTTACAGAGGAGAGAGCCATCTATGAAAAGGTTCAACAAATAATAAAATAAACATTTAAAATAGCAATATCAATATCAGACACTGTAACAGTAGCCTAGTTTGGTAATTTGTGTTACTATGACCAGTTGTCCAAATTGTACCTCTAAAGTACCTTTGGAGGCTGGCTCTCTATAATAGCTCTCTTTAAGTCTGGTAAAAAAAGCTGTTGAAAAAGCTGCTGAGAATAAAAACATTCATGGACCATACATTTATGAATGCTAGCCCATTTTTATCTGTCTTTAAAACATATAGTTTATTAACGGTCCTGTAAAAGAAATTGGAAACTTACATGTTGATAATCTCAAAGGTGCTTTTTCAAAAGGCAACTGGACTCTGTTTTTCCTTGAAGATGTTTTGCTTCTCATCTAAGAAGCTTCAGTTGTGAAAACCGATGAAGCTTCTTGGATGAGAAGCGAACACCTTCCAGGAAAAACAAAGAAAGTCCAGTTGCTTTTTGAAAAAGCACCTTTGAGACAACCATATCTAGATGACTGAGATGTTGATATGCTTTAATTGCCATGTGTGTATTAACCGATCTTTAAAGGATATTTTAGAAGAAGGAATACATATATTCCTCTCCTGTAACCATAACGTTTAGTGGCATTAGTGGAGAAATTAAGAGCCTTTACATACTCATAGGGGAAAGTTAATATTATCATTATATGAATTCTTCAGTGCTTTTTATTTATATAAGTACACAGTAATCTGTTTTCCATCACTTAAAATATATATTATTCTAGGGTGTAATTGCCACAGCAGCTTTGCCAGAAAGTGGCTCTTCCCTTGCTTTACGGGCCCTTGGATGGGGTTCACTCTATGCTTGGAGTGGAGTTGCATTGATCAGCTTTGCTATCTGGAAGGCTTTGGGTGTTCACAATGTAAGTATCTTCAATTAACGTTGCATGCTTTGGTGCTTTAGAAATTCCATAAATTCAATGAGCACTTACACATTTTTATTTATGTAGGCAACCTTGTATGTGTGAATCCTTTTTAGGGGAAAATTAGTGAGAATACTAATTATATAGATCCCACTCCTGGGGGCTCACAGTGTATATTTGAATGGGTTGCTGAATAAAATGAAGAACCAGCAGACACCCACAAAGAAGCAAACCTGTGAAAGTAGAGGAATGAATTACATTTTAAAAAAGGATAAATATAGAAAAATAGTTAAATATGTATAGAGTTGAGATTTGTTTGTTTTAATTGCAACTTGGTGAGTCCGCTGCAGGAAACTATGGTGTTTGGGAGGGCTAGGTTAGATATGTGAATGCAGCTACTATGATTTGTTTGCTTATTTATGAAATTAGCATGCCGCAGATCTTTCTAGACTCCTGGTGGGTTACAATAACAAAGGTCCTACAATATAGTAAGCTTAAACATCCAGGATAAATATCCTCCTCCAATCAACACTCCCCCCCCCACCGCCCTGTTTATGACTTACTACAAAGTATGAATCCAAGTAATAGCGATTTATTCAACAAACTATGGTTTAGCATGATGTGTTCTTTATATTTAGGCAATGAGAATTGATTCGTACAAAAGGCTTTTGCTCTTTCTCCACATAAGTGGTTAAGCATACCCCTGCTGGATGAAGCCAAGGCCCATCTTGGTTTAGCATTTTCCTTCTTATAATGGCCAACAATCAGAAAGTTGGCTTACAATTCCTGATTTGTTTAGGAGTAACATATTTTGAACACCATATTAACTTGACTCTTGCTGGTCACTTCCTAAGTTGTTCACCAGCTAATAGGAGAAGATAAATAAGGATAACTGGACACAGCTTTTCAAAGCAAGCTTACCTGGGAACAGTGTCCCAGGTTACATATTGTAAAAAGATAACCCTGTATTTTGTAGCCTCTTTGTTTCACAGAAAGCTTCAAGTTGAAATCTGTAAAAAAGACAGATCTATTAAGTGAGATAGGTTTCCATAAATAATACGTTTTTAAGGCAGTTTATTCAGGTTCTTTCCCCCCCCCACCCCCCTTGCAGCGCAGTATGTAGAACTACTACACTAGTAATGTTTATTGTATCAGGGCCACCAAATTGGGCCTATAAAAATCTGAATCACTAAATGGCAAGAAAGAGTTAGAAAATTGATACCATCTAGTGGCCATCTGCACTTTGATTGTGTAGATCTGGTAGCTGTAATTATCAGTACATGGTTCAATATTCTTTTTTAAAACAAGAACTGAAATTTAAATTTTGTAGCAGCCCATGGAGAGGGAGGGAGTTGCTAGCAATACAGAATATTTTATCTAGTAACTGCTATAAAGGTTTATATATTTATTAGCAGTAATTATGTAGTTCTCAGGGGAATATAACAGCGGCTGAGCGGCTGCAAGATTCAGACTACTATTTTGCAAATGAAAAAAAGTATTCTTATAAAAAACATCTATTTGCAGAGTTTGGTTTATTTTTTTAAACAATTATATGCTCCTCCATCTCATAGCATTGACACTGAGTGATATATAGGAACATCGTATAATTTGATAGCACTGATTTTCTGTAATCTATGGGAATGAGCCAATATTCTGCCCAATATTGAAATTCTTTAATTCTTCTCTGGTACTCTGAAATGTGGGAACAACATAATCTGTCCACTTCTTTTATATTGAGCAATATTTTTGCCACATTTTTCAAATGTTGGAATAGTGACAACAATCTGAAGCAAGGCAAAGAAAGATAAAAATAACCTCCAGTGGATTTATTTTAGCTCCATATTGCTGATTTTTAGTCATGTTACAAAGATATATTTTTACTTCAGTTGAGTCTGAAACTATCACTGACTGGTTTGGCTACTTTAGTAATAATGTTGATTTTTATACAATCATATTAAATAACGTTGTCTACAGGATATTGGTTTATTAAAGTTTCTTTTGATCTCAGGAAATTGGGTAGGACATATTATTTGGATGATAGACTAAGAATTGTTTTTTGAATCCCCCAAAACCACAGTGGCATGCTACTTCTGTAATTTTTAACTCAAATAAATGTGTACATTTACTTTTTTAATTGGTTCATCCAAATAATACTTGACAGAATAATAGAATAACATCACCTAGAAATGTCCTTGCTATATGGGAATATGAGAGTATGTAGGTGAAATTGTAAAATAATTGCAACGGTAAAGTTATTGCAAAAAATAGAAAAAAATCAGATAGGATTCAGGAACAGAAAAAAAGGATTATTCTTAAATACTGGGTACACCACTTTTACAAATTTCTACAGGATGTTCCCCACGGTCAAATCATAGCCATTTGTGCACAACTCAGATTAAGGGTGAAGAATCTGTGGTGCTTTAGATGTTGCTGAACTGCAAATCCCATCATTACAATGGATGGAGCTTCTGGAAAGTGTGGTTGAGCAGCACCTGGAAGATCACACTGTATTTAACTCTTCACATGGCTATGTTATTAGTATAGTATGTGTTTTATTTCTCCTGTGAATCTAAAAAAAACACCAGTAGAATGTTTGCATGCAAGGTTTTACACCTAACACATAGATTGTGGTGGTTAGCTACGGGCGCTTTGGGAGTAAATGTTGTTTGCCCCAAATGGATAGGCAAACTAGCAGACCCAACTGCATGCCAGAAATATCATACAAAAGACATAGGCAGTGCTCCCTTAAGGAATTAAGAGCCAATTAACAGATTACATCATCATAGATTACCTATTTAGAAAAACCTTGATATGAGAACAAATGCCATTAAAAAAAGTGTTGCCCTACTTCCTTTTTAAAGTCAGGTCTGAAAAGAAAAAGAAGCATTTTCTCCAGTAAGAGCTTTAGAGGTGTTGGAAGTTCACTTTTTATTTCATAAATAGAATTTGGATCTGTTAAACTGATGTATTGTTCTCTGAGGTAGTAAACATTATGGAAGTGATAATGCTCTGGGGAAGAGATAAGCTTTGTTGCTCAGGGCCATCAGCATATATTTCTAAAAAAACAGCTGATGCTTTAAAGCTGCATTAGCTGCATTAGATGAAAACACAATTTGATTGTCTTGACATACAGTTTTCATTCCCCAAAGCCTTAGAAAAAGGTCCTAACTGCCTCAGCAGGATCCTTATTGCTGCTAAATTGAAATGCTTAGAATTCACCGGAGCTGATCAGCATTTCCTCCAGCAGAAATTGGTGTTTGGTGCCCCATACTTTTTATACCCATAGTCACAGAACTCACACACGTCATACAACCTGCCTTGCCTACCCTACAAGGTTCCATCCCAAAAAGGTGCCGGAACTCCGTTCTGGATGTTCTATGAGGAAAAAAAGCCCTGCCCATAGTTCATGTTATGCTTATTCATTGATCTGAGGAAAGATTGGAGGTTCACTGTATCGGGTGTATACTGTAAGAGCTGCTTCTCTACTCAGTTGAAAAGATGATGTGGCACAGATGAAGTTTTATTGGGACAAGGAGGGGAACCTGGGAGGCAGGCCGAGGAAGGAATTTTACCATTAGAAACCTGGGCTCTGCAGGACTATGGCACTCCAGTCTAAAAATCAAGCTTCCTAAGGCTTTCAGTCATCTCAGCTGCCTAGTGGGGATGATGAAGTAGGCTTGCAGAGATGTGATGTCATCTAAGAATGGTCCAAAGGCTGCATGTGAAGGTGATCTTAGATTGGATTGACAGTGCTTAACTATAGCAGGTTTTATTTTGCTTTTATTTAGTATCTTAGGTGAACACAGCAATTGTGGTTTAATCGTGGATGACAAACATTTAGCATATATGAGTCCAGCCTTCCATCTAGTACAGTGGTTCTCAACCTTTTTAATGCCGCGACCCCAACCGGTCGTAAGTCGAGGACTAAACCGGTCGTAAGTCGAGGACTAAACCGGTCATAAGTCGAGGACTACCCAACCGGTCATAAGTCGAGGACTTTCCCTGCCCGGGAGCGCCGCGCATGCGTGGTTCCGCCCCCTGCGCCGGCCGAGGCGTAGCTGGCAAGTGGCAGAGACAGAGCAGGCCGACCACCAGCTGGCCCAGCTCAAGGGAGGTAAGGCACCCGCCGGAAAAGGGGGAAAAAAATGGCGGACAAAAAAAATGGCGGACAAAAAAAATGGCGGACAGCCTTGCTTGGCGACCCCCATGAAATGGTCGATCGACCCCAAATGGGGTCCCGACCCACAGGTTGAGAACCACTGATCTAGTATGCATCTTCTCGTATAGGAAATAGAGAGAAAACAAGAAGCTCCAAAATTTTATTTTTGAGGTGTAAACTATTCTAAACTGATCAGGGAAAACAACTTCAGCACAGAGATCTCATACACTTATCCCCAGCTGAACCTGAAGAGGAGTCTTACAAGGAGCAGTACTTGGTAAGATATATAAGAAAAGATAATCTGGTGTTTCTTTAAATTGACCATCTGTCAGGATGGAGGTAGGATCATGAAAAAAATAATTTGGCTACCAGAAGACATTTAGCAATCATATTCGGTAGCTACATTATGAGTCATGATGATTACAACAGCTGTTTAAACCAAAAGGTAATGAGAGAGAAAATTGGAATGGTCCCCGGCCCAACCCCTAAAGACATTAGTCATCAACATCGTTGGCACAAATGTTAGAATGGATAGGATAACTGTAGGTGTTCTGATTGACTTAGATAGTCTAGGACCTTCAGAGACGGAGCATTGTGTCCATTATCATTAAGTAGCCTTTCATAAAATAAATCTTACTAGGGAAATTAAGACTTTCATTAAAATGAAAAATAAAAACAAGCAGTGCTCCAGGAATTTATCTTGGATGCAGTTGAAGGAAATGCCTTAGAAAGACCTTCGTTGCACTACAGCTACATCTGCTGGCAAGAGAGGAAATAGGAGAAGCTTCACAGATTTTTTTTTTTTCCTTTTAGATTTTGATGTTTTTCTTTATCATCTCAT